TAGTAAGCGAACAGCTTTATGATAATCTCTTTTCTCAAAGGCTGCCCAACACTTGTCCTCTAACAACATCTTGTGATCAGTTAATTAGATTCATTGTTCCCCACCCACACATCACAATTGTTGATGGAAACAAGAATAATGGGTGGAGTTTAAGTGTATAGTAATTGCAGAAGAAAATTAAAAATTTTGGCTATTGCTTTGGAAGCCTTAACTGTACATACCAATGTGTACATCTACATGTACACTGTAACTATAGTTATGATAGGCTTCTAGGAATGAAACCACAATACAATACTATACTGATTGACCTGTTTTCAGTCGTCCCGCCACCTGACCGGAAGTCCATTCCTACCTGTATAATTTTATCATCAGGGAATAGTGTTCATGAATAATTAATTAGTTTTACTATTTCTAGTCATAACTAACTTTTGATAATTGCAATTGCTATGAAATTTTAACAAGTTTGTAAGCTATTGAATTCTGCACACTGCAAGCAAATTTCATTTTATTCCTACTATCTAGTAATGAGCTATGAGGTAATTTATTAGTGTTACTGGCTTTCCAACTACTGTTGTTTATAGCTTTTTCCCAAGTCTTAGTCCTTTGGTACAGCTGCCACAGTGGCATTAATACAAATTTAACCAACTGTAAATTTTTCAATTTGTTTCTGCAAACATAACTTTAGTTGTAGTGAAAAATATTCAATGGTAAGGTTATTGTTGTAAAGTTATTATTTCTTTATTAACCATTAATAATTATTACTAGTTATCATTATGAATATTGTTATCGTTTGTGTTATAAATAGTCATTTTTAGGTCTTTTTCTATGTTCTGTTCTGTACTGCTCTATTCTATATTTTTGTGATCTTGAGGCTATTACTTGTGTTGCTCGAGTAATCTTTTTATCAATAAAACATTTTAAAAATACAATATTGGCGACGAGGATGGCGGTTCATGGAACCTTAACAGTGTTCGACTCGAGGAAAGAGACTTGGGATTCCTACTCGGAACGAATGATTTTCTATTTTATTGCCAATGAGATCACTGATGATGCCAAGAAGAAGGCTATCTTCCTCTCCGCTTGTGGCTCCCGCACTTTTGACTTACTTCTGAATCTACTGCAGCCTGCTAAGCCAGGAGAGAAATCTTTTGACGAGCTGGTAGATGTTCTCAAAGGACACTATGCGCCCAGACCTTCAGTGATCACCCAGAGATATAAGTTCAACACGAGAATCCGTCAACAGGGTGAGTCTGTAT